CACATTGGAACCAAACTATAAGTAGGGAAAACTGTCATCTTATTTGCCCCTGTATGATATGCTGCTGGGTGAGCTGGCAGAAACCCAGCAGGTGGAACTGGCACCGTCTTTAGCTGTTGCTCCAACCTTTCTTTATCTGCCTTCAGTACAAGCTTCTCTTCTCGAAGTTCATTCTTCTCAGCCTGTTTCAGAGCATGAAGAGTTAACAAAAGAAACTAAAACTAAATGAAAAGAACCATTTAAAGATAGGTAGGCAGGGCGAGTTAAAAGGAAATGCTTAGGGTTCTCCTGTGATGAAATCTCAAACAGCTTAATTCAAATTGTTCAATAACAAAATTCAAATATAGAGTGATAAAAAATTCAAAATACTCTCACATGTTTCTTGTAATGTATATATTTCTTGTATTATTTCTCCTTGTAAAATGCAAAAGTAGTTTTCTTCATTCATTAGTTTGAAGACCAATATCTTGTTAGAAAATAATAAAGTTGGAAAAAAAACATTGTGTTACCATGAGGGACCAATATCTTCATGCATATGATACATGGCACAACTTACAGATTCTTTAGTCCTAACTTGATTTTTAAGTGCATAAGTTCTCAGCATGAGGTGATTGGAACCATTAGGCAAATTTATTTTGATCATATAACAGTCCAACAAATGTTATTGGCTGACCAGAGGGGAGTGATAATACAAAAAAACTAGAATCAAGGAGTAAGGATGCAAAATCATGGAGTAAAAAAAGGTACTGATATGATATCCTCAAGAACTCCAAACACTAAAGCATGGCCCTTGAAAGACTGAATCTTTCTAGAAGAGTACCATAATAGCTTCTCAATAAATTATACAGAATATTCAACTTGCATCAACATCAGTGCTATTGATCTCTTTCAACAGGGTAAAACTATCTCAGTTAAACATACTTAGCTATTTCATTGTCTTAAATACATGGTATTTATAGCTGGGTCACCAAAAATGTCTGCCATTCTTTTTATTTCACAGCCTCAACTAATAGCTCCACCAATAAGCATTCCATTTCCTTGAGACCAATATCTTGTGGTCAATATGAAGTCTATGGAATGCAAACATTGGCCAAAACAGAACTAACCTGTTTCCTGTAAATTGCAAAAGTATAACTAACCTTTAATCTTTTTATTTCTTCCTGTAGCTTTTCATTTGTTTCTTGGAGCTCCTGAGCCTCACTTCTCAGTTGGGTCAAAATTCTGATGGCATCATCAATTATTGCCAGTTTATCTGTTTTAACAGGTCTCCCAGGTTCCAAAATAGAGCTCAGATACTGAAACCTGTATGAGTAATAAAAAATAGAGCATAAAAATGAATGGTTAAAGCTTAGAAAAGGAAAAGGAAAAAAAAAAAAAAAATTATACACACGCAAGCTGATTGTTATTTACAAAAAGGAAAAAAGGGAAGCTCAAGGTGTCAATAAATGTCAATACCTGTGTTATTAAAAAGTTCAGTTTATTTATCTTTCAAACGCTGTGTAAACCATAAACCTTAAACGATAAAGAAGTACATCGACTTCTAGGCTTCTAGCCACAAAACAAGGCATATAAACAAGAAATAAACATGCCTTTCATTCAATTTCTCACGTCGCAATCTCTCACGGCATGCCTTTGTCCCTGGTCTACAGCATGATGATTCATTATGTGCCCTATAAACCATCAACAAAACGTCATTTGAGATTAAGAACATAGAAAAAAGGCATGCCTTTCATTCAATTTCTAGAGCATAAATATGTGGAACTAGTTAGTTGCCGAAAACCGAGTACTACTACACTATTATCACAACTCCATAATCCCCAATTTTTCCTAGCCAAGAGAATAGCAGCCCAGCAAGTTGTCATACTCAAATAGAAAGGCAAAACAACAAACATTTCATACCATATTAAGCCTTCAGCCTCATCAAATACACAAATTGCTATATAACATAAGAAATTACAAAAAGTGAAATGACCCATTACCTCTTCCGAGAACAATCTAACTCTGCAGATTCTTTCTCTTGAGATACAAAATTAACAGTTGAGAAGTCAATTCCTGTGCTAATGCTGCAACCAAATAGATAAAAATTAATAACTGCTAGTTTTGTTTATAAAAAATTAAACAAATTACGTATGCAATATGGACATGCATTTTCCAATACTAAAATTACGCACGCAAACAGAATAATAAGCAAATAATAATCATAATAATAATAATAATAATTCAATTGAAACAGTTTTTTTTTTTCATTTAAAAAAAAAAAGAACCCAGAAAAACAAATAAAACAATGATTAAGTCGCAAGAATTAAATACCTCTGGATCTGGTTGGGCAAGGATAATTCTGGAGATGTATTATCGGATACGAATTCATTAATAAGAAAATCCAAATCATCTAACGAATCCATTTTCGGTATTTGATGATGGTACTGATTTTTCTGAAATGTTGAATCTTTGTTTTTTTCGCAGTCTTGTTTGGGAATGGCAATGGAGGCGGAATAGGGGATCGGACCCGTTCAATGTTTGGGGGGACCGGAAAGCAATTTTCACGGGAAATTTTGAGGAGGAGAGGAAAGGGAAACGTTGAAATGTGGAATTATTTTGGGCACGTGGAGAAGGGGCTGCGCCGCCGAGTTGAATCCGTACCAACTTGCTGTGGTGGTGCAGCTTCCCCCTCCTCCCTGCTGCCCAACCGCTAATTATTTTACATTTTTTTATCTCAAATTATTTTTTATCTCTTGTCTCATTTCATCGTCATTTTATGGTATATAAGTGAAATTTAAAATTTTTTATTTTTAATAAAAAAAAAAACTAAATTATTTAGGTTATTGGCACTTATATTGAAATTAATAAATTCAAGACAAATTATGATTTTATTAATGTCATCGAGAATCAAACTATGATCAGTATAATGAAAAATAAACTCTCCAACTAACTTGTCTTTTTTTGAACAGCAAAAAACTCCAACTAACTTGTCTGTCATGACTTCATTAGTTAATATGCAATTCAGATTCCAAAACATGCACTAATACCATTAAATATGGTCACAATCCTCAATATTAGAGCTCTATCCCTATCTAATAATTTATGTTGAACATTTAATAATTTATATTGTGCAATTGAGATACATGACACTATTTTGGTAAAAGAAAATAGGAAAACACTTTATTTTATGAGACCAACAACAGCAGCATAATTGAATGCTTGTTTAATTGTTTTCCTACAACTCATGAACTCTATTTTCAGTACAAGGCACTGTGTGAATGTGGGAATTAATGATCGAGCTACAAGCGCAGCGCTTGAGCAGAAAAGGGTTAGAGATTGAGAGCACGTGGGCTTCGTTTTTAAGCTTGTCAATCAGCTCATCCACAGAAGAAAGAATAACACCTGGTTTCTCTTGGAGGGTTCAGTAACTTGAACAACCTCTGAATCAGATTTGATTTCACCTCCAGCTCCACTAGAGCACATTTTTTTATGGGTTTGGATTTTGCCTTCATTATGTTTGGGAGTGTTGCATTTCGCGGCTGGTTCAGTCTCAGATCAGTGCTGTATAAGACAATGCAGATAGAAGTCATTATTGTTAATAGTATTGCAGATTACAAATATCAGGGGAAAAAGAAAAGAAAACACTTCCGGCATAAATGCAGAGAATGCTGGTTATACACAAATTATGTTCAACATCAACCGTGCTAATCTGAAAATTTTGCCCTTTTAAGGATTTCATAGAATTAACTACAAAGGGTAACCATTGTTTTTCACATTACTTTTGGTACACAAATGTCATAGCCATGGATGCACCCAAATATCATTTGGTACACATCAAATATTGCTAATTGAATAATCGAGGGCCAGGAGAAATAAAGCTATATCATGATTTTAAACTAAGGTACAGGCACTGCAGCAGAAATGGAAAGACTAATTGTTAATTGGTCTTTGTTTTAATGCCAAAGTGAGAGGACCAGATTAATGTGATTACAGCAGGCAAGTCCAAACACAGTTTCAGGACCACTGTCCACCTCTCTATCCACTGTTGCTACTTGTTTCTCCTTGTCCAGCACAACCTACTAAAAACCAGTATCAAACATCAGAAGAATATGGAACAGACACAAAAAGAATTTAAAGAGAGAAACTGCATTACAGGAGTGTCACTGGTATGGAAATCAACCTAAGGAATATCAAAATTGAATGCCAATACAATTCTACAGAACTAGCCATATCTAGGAAGCCTATTACCCACTGACATCTACATGATCTTAAGCAATCTTTTAACATCCCTAAGTTAATTCTAACCAGCAAGCAGCTGCATTTTCAAGAGAGTTTCTTGGTAACAATAAAAATAATAGTAATGTAATTGAGAAGCATTGTAATGAGTTAAAGAATTATTCTTCATCCTGATATAAAGAAAGGGAAAGATAAGAAAAGAAACCACATAAACAGGGTATCACACGCATGGAAATCAGCCCAAGGAATATCAAAACTATCACTAACCATCTTGATAGGCTAACATCTACTAATAAATAGATGATCTCAAACAATCCTCTAATGACCTTGATTTAGTTTTAGTTCTAATCAGCAATTAGCTGCATTAGCAAGAGAAAGTTTCTTGATAACAATAAAAAATAACAATAATGTTATTGTTACAAAGCAGTTATGGTGAGTAAGGAATCATTTTTCATCTTGAATTTGTTCAGAATAGAAAAATGGTTTAGACTGCCAGACTAACCTTGGAAGCAAAGATTCCCTGTGGCCAACCAGGCAGCCCAGGCCAACATTTGCCCTGTTTGATTGCAATCATCATCAATTGACTACACAAGAATCTGGATAATAAGAAACAGTAATCTTCCACATGTATTCCTCTGACCAAAGAAGTAGTAAAATAAAATAAAATCAACTATCATATGAAAGCACTAACAAAACAACAGGAAATAAAAGAATGTCTGAAACCAGATAAACTCAGGTCACAAGCACTCCTTGATTAAATTCTCCCTTTGATAACTAAGAAAATGTCGAAAATAGGAATGGATCACAAAATTAGGCTCCAATCTTTATTCTCTGAGAAAATCTCACTTAGCTAATGCAAGTTAAGCTTAAAGCACAGATCTTTCTGAAGACCAAACCTTAAAGAATTTAACTTCAATTATTTTTCTAGATTTTATCACTAGCCAAACAATCATGCCCCTATTTGATTTCCAATTAGAAGCAAACCTGCTTTCCAAGAATTAGCTACCTGGGGTCTTCAACCCCCACGAGCCTCTTCAAGACCTTAGCAACAGTAAGAGGATACAAGTCCCGAGCAGCCTGGACGTGAATCTCTCTGTCAGCACCCATGGCTAGACACGTCCTCAGTGTGTCGACACATTGGGCAGAACCAGTACTAACCGCCACGACTTCCGTCGCCAGCCCAGACTCCTGCGGAGGGCCTCTTCCAGCGCTAGCTCACAAAACGGGTTCATCGACATCTTAACGTTGTGGGTCTCAACTCCAGTCTGGTAAAAATTCATTATATATAACAAAAACAGATTGATGAATGACTCGATTGAGTTAGGATAAAGGAAATGGATAATCGGAGTGGATTTGGGATGTGTTAGAAGATCAAGTTTACCTTGTCGGGTTTGACTCTGACCTTCACGGCGTAATCCACAACGCGCCTAATGGCTACCACTATCCTCATGGTGTTGCCGCCGGCGACGTAGATTCTGGTCAGGCAACCCTGAGCTAATCAGAAAACGATCGGAAAGTTAGAAGGTCACCTCGCGTAATATGAAGAAACGAAGAAAAATATATTTCCTTTTTTAGACAAAAAAAACAAAAAGGGCTACCGGGTCATGCCAAAGCCCATAACAAAAACCCAACATTGTTTTGGGCTAAACGGCCTAATGTTTATTTACCATTCACCAATGGGTTCTTTACCAATGGGCTTTTGCTTTCAGGTCGACAACAGAACTTTCTACCTTTTTTTTTTCTTTAAAAAATTTGCTGACTTTTTGTGAAAAATGAATTTAAAAGGAATGCTTTTTAATATAACCAGAATGATCTTGGGTTGCCTCTCTTCCCCCTTTACTCGTTAAATCCACATTTTATATAACTCGAAGTTATAATTATTAAAAGAAGTTTACTGCTAAAATGTTTTGGTTATTGGCAAAGATAAATTTAATTTGATTTGGCAGTTTCCTTATTGCCACAACACCACCTTCCCCAAATGAAACCCAACATTTCAATAAGTCCCTTGTTGTTGCCACAACAGTTTCCTTGCCCTCCTTGCCCATGCAGACAGGGACATGCCTAGACAAAGTTTAGGGTTATATCATGTTTTGTCATACCATAAACCAAACATTTTTCAACTAACATTAATTTCAAAGCCACACTCTCCTTGTTTCCCATTTCCACCGATACCCAATCTAAATGAGAAATTGAAGATATGGGTATTCAACTTAGTTCTCCAACGATTGGATAAAGCCAATGCCATACAATTCTTTAATTTGCCCTAATTAACATAAATCCAGCATATGAATATAATATGAATCACTCTACCTTTTCTTAGTATAGGTCATATTATCACATGACATATATATTAGTTCAATTATAAAAATAAAAAATTACAATCAAACCTATTCCACTAATAATAGAAAATGAAGAAAAGAATCATCGACGATTCAAATTTTCAATCTGAAAAGTATTTTCACAAACAATCAAATAATACCTGTATTAACTCATTTGGTCACATGACGGAACTTAAATTTAATGCCATGTGTTTGTACGTGAGGAAGCATGGATGTGACTCTTTGTGCTTTTACTTTTTTTGCAGCCATCGTGACTGCCCTGTGCTTTGGAATTCAAAACTCAGAACCAGAGAGTGGAAAATGGACTACCTTTCACAATTCACAGTACCACTGACTAGGCCTGAAGAAAATCTTTGGAGGGTGGGAGTGCTATCCCATCATGGTTGAAGCATCTTCAACATGCAGCAGGGCCCATCGCCCATGAAGGAGGAAAAACGAGGATCCCATTTCCACTTTTCAAAAGGCCTCTTGGGGATTTTGACTCTTTCTCCTAAAATAATTGTTGAATGCAAGAAACGTGTGGTTGGCCAGGTTATCAAAATAATATTTTAAAAATACTATTTTTTTCCTTAATTTAATTATTAAAAATAATTAATAATTATAAAATTATAAAATTAATTTTTACAAATATTATAATT